TTAAGAAAAATTTCATAACCCAACTTATAAAATTCTATCTCCACGAGTCAAAAAAATCACATTCTCATCTATCGTAACAACTTTAAAGATAAATAAATAAAAGTCTAATTAATACTATAAATCCATTATCTATATAGATTTTTTAAAAAATTAAATTTCACCTGTCTAATTACTAATATTTTAGATACTTTTAAATATTATTTGTATAATTTTTTTACACGTTTGCTCTCTCTCTCACTCTCTCTCTATATATATACATATATGAAGGTTAAGTGAAGAATTTTTAGACATATTTTCCTTACGGGTAGTTTACAAAAATTTAGGTGGCTTCAAACATTATTTGTGAATAATATAGAATATTTTAGATGCTTTTATAGATGTTATAAAATATTTTAAGTGTTTTTAATATTTATATATCACACTTAAAAAGAATAATTTGCCAAAATAAAAACATTAAATACACATTGTAAATGTTAATAGAAACATTTTTCAGTGTTCATCTTTGATTTTGTCAAAACAAATCTCATAAAATCGGTGAAGTCAAAATTTGTACGTAAAGTCTATCTATACTAAAAAAAAGGTAGATTCAAAATTCTTTATCTAATTTTTTCTTTTCCTTATCTAACGCCTTCTTATTATCTAATTGTATAGAAATCTGTTCTGATTTTGTTCAATCCTCTAATTGTATTTGTATTATATCCCATCAAATCGGTTTAACAAAAAAAATCTTATAACATCCGATAAGTAAAAAAAAAAATACGTAAAATCTTTACTAAATAAAAAAGGCTTTATTTATAATCTAATTTATTATCTAATTGTATGGAAATCTGTTCTGATTTTATAATACGTACTACATCGTGTTCAGGAGCTACTTAACGGGCAAGTTCTGTGGAAATAACTCATTTAGTGCTTCTGTCCCGTGCATATGGTATGTATTTGTATTACACATACTAGAAAATTTTGTACTTCGTGCATCGCAGGGACTCTGTACTAATAAATGACTTTAAAATTGTGCACCCCGTGCATCACCCGTGGGCCTATTACAGGTCACGTACTATATATATCCCGTACATTTTTCTTTATTCATTTATATAATTATAAGACTTGATAAATGACCTTAATTTTGTACATCCCGTGCATCGCACGGGATCTGTACTAGTTGTTCTTAAGAGTCATCAACCTGCAATAGTTTCCACTCAAAATGCAAGATAATGTCAAGCATATTCCACTTGAACTCAAATATTTAACCTAAAGCACAAATTAAACCACTAAAATCTAGACATATTTTCTACTTATTAAGTACATCCCAAACAATTTTCATTTTGGATTCATAATATTTTTTAATCCTAACCTATTATTATGTTTCATGCCTTCGCGCATTATTTTACTTAGAGGAGGATATTTATGGAGTAAGGTTTAGGTAAGTTAACCAAGAGGTGTTCATTAAGGCTGTGATAAATGAGTTGATATCTATGTTATGTCTTGCTTTAAGATGCCTCTTGTCACCACTAGACACTAAGCATTTGGATTCTATCTCGGGGGTGCGTTGATGAAGGTTAGAGTAAAATTCATTGGGGGAGCTGGGATGAATTGGCTACACCCAAAGTCGATCAAGGCTTAGACTTTCAAAATTTTAAAGCTTTATGCTTTTCATCAGTTTTTTAGAAAAGTGGTTGGAATTTGCATTGAAACAATTGATTTTGCAGCAGTTAGAATGCAACTCACAACTGAAGAAACAGTTCATTTTGCAATCAGATATGGATGATTTAGCATAAGCAAAGATGTATAATTCCTCAAAACAACTTATCACACCCACATGAGCATCAATATTCTAAACAAGTAACACAATAGATGAGAAGGTATTCATTCAACTAACATTACATTTAATTAAGCAGGCAAAATGCAGGTTCACAACACATTCAATCCCACGAATTGGCCGAAAAGAAAAAGCGAACCACCTACAATTCTCTCAATACCCTAAAACTATATCAAGATTCCCCCAACAAAAACCAGAGCTTTCTTCCCTACAAGTACAACTTGAACAAAATCTAATACAACAAGATAGATTAAAAGCCATTCCTCAAATCATTGTAACAAAAATAATCCACCTCCATATCATTCCCTACCTTAGTCTTCACGGTAACACCGTCAATGCCAGCAACAATAACCGAAGTAGCCAGCCCGATGAACATCCCGTGCTCCACAATACCAGGCAACCTCAAAATCATGTCACTAGCTTCATTCAAGTCACCAATATCCTTCTCAAAATACAAATCAATGATATAATTCCCATTATCCGTCACATACGCCTTCCCATTTGCAGGACACCTCCTAAGCTCCCCAATGCAGCCAGCGTGAGCAAACAGACTCACGAGCCTCTTCAAAGAATGGTCACAACAAAACGGGATAACCTCCACAGGCATAGCTAGTTTACTACCGCCAACATAATTCACTAATTTGGATTCATCTACAATCACTATAAACTTCTTGCTGGCCGATTCGATCATTTTCTCTCTCAACAGTGAACCCCCACGCCCTTTCACCAAATTCAGATCTGGATCTACCTCGTCTGCGCCATCAATGGCTAAATCGACCACTGGATGAGAATCAAGATCGGATAAGGGGATACCTAACGAGACGGCCTGCTCGTGAGTTTTCGTGGAGGTTGGTATGCCGACTATGTCCTTGAGCTTCCCCTGGCGCAGGAGATGCGCGATGCGATCGACAGCGTGTTTCGCGGTGGACCCCGTGCCGAGGCCGACGACCATGCCGGATCTCACGTGCTCCACGGCCTTGTAAGCGGCGATCTTCTTCAGATCGTCCTGCGTTAGGGCTACGGAAGGGAAAAGGGAGGGCGGCGCGGCAGAGGTGACAACCGGAGCCGGCGCCTCGGCCTTGTAAGCTACGGCCATTGGTGTTGCAAAATAAACAAAAGCTAAGCTCCAAAGATTGGATGGCTATATAGCATATTCTGGATTAAAGAAGAAAAGTAGAAAAAAAATGAAGGATTTTTATTGGGAAATTAAATTGTGAAAGATCAACGATATCTGCGGGAAATGTGTGGGGGAGAGGTGAACGGATTAGCAGATAATGTGATGAAAAATACGGTTATGGAGGTGAACGATTTTTAGGGTTTTTTTTATAAAGAGAGGGGCGGCCGGCGGCGTTTGATTGGTGCGTACGCGGGAGAATGGAGGTGCAGCAATTGGGGAACCATGTCGGTGACTTGGTTCACTGAATCATTATTATTCTAAAACACCTTATCCCCTTCCCGTGCAATGCCTATAGCCATAAATAATGCTTTTCATTTTATATGATATATGATTTATATATTCCGTATCACGGTTTTGCTATGAAGCCAATAGTTGGCTCCAGTGGAACCAATCTTCTATATACAACAAATAAACATACTATATTAATAAAATTATATTAGTGTTATTTAAGTAATCAAAAAATATGGTAAATTTACTTGTTATATATAGAAAGTTGGCTCCACTTTAAAGTCAACTGTTGACTTCATAGCAAAACCGTTGCATATCATTCAGAGTACTATAATTCAACTCACCGTATTTGTTCTTTTAACATATCAAAATATATTTTTGGTTTTTACGTAGTTGTTCCCATGTTTAATAAGTGTCTTTTGAGAAGTTGTATAATAATTAAAAAAAAAAAAATTGTCATTAGTAATTCTTATTAGTGAAGATAGAGATGAATATTTTGAGAAAAGATGAATATTGAATATGAAAAGAACTAGTCTATTTATTAACTAAATGAAGATAATAATTCAAAAATATGTATAAAAGATCCAAAACGTCATTTATTTGATTAAATGTTGATAAAGTCAAAATGACATTAAAAAATAAGCGGTAATTAAACTTTCAATATAGAAATTATTTAATTCATTTATTTTTATATGAATATATGTAATTGGCATTTTAAATTTATTTGTACTTTAATATTTTCCGATATATATACACACAGTTTTACTTAGAGTTTATAAATTTTTTATTTCATTCAAAATATTAATTATATTACTATTTTTTATCAATAATAAAATCTTTACAAATATTTTTTTCACGGAGAATTTTTTCTTATGATAAATTAATATAATAAACTCTTGATTGTATAATTTATCAAAGCTCTATTCACACTTAAATTATTCATTTAATTAACTAACAAGATCACATAAGATATATATTTAATTAATATTGCAATTATTAATAATTTATATATATATATATATATATATATAACTGTCTGCTACAAATTTCACGAAAAATCAATTTTTTCTTGCTAATTTAGAAAGAACACATTATATTTTCCATTAATTAAGTATTTGTATTTTTTTACTTATTTCATTACATAATAGCTATTATTAACAAATCATAAAGTCACAATAAATGATATATAAAACTATATACATATAAAAAGTTTATTTTAAAACTTTCTTTTTTCAAACTATTAATATAAACTTATTATTATCACTTTTTTCAACTCAAAAAAAGTTCAAAGGGTACATCGGGATCTAAGGGATCACAATCCTAAGAGGATCAAAGGAGAGCTAGTAGCTTCCTAGAGAAATACAGAAAAGGAAAAAACAGGCAAAAGTAACAGCCGCGAGAAGAGGCGGAAGCCTGTTACTCGCCAAACAAAAGACACCAATAGAATCTAAGAAAATAAACGAAAATACAAAAACAAAAGAAAACAAAATTAGTTAATTATTCTTTATAGTACATCCAAACTCTTTAAAATTCTGCACACAATTATTATAATAATAGTTTTAAGGTGTTTGTCTAATTAACTTGTCATTAGTACTCAAGATTGCAAATATTACATTAGTGCAATCAATTTGTTGATTTATATTTAAGTTAAATAGTTTATATTTATATAGTTCACTTTTACAAATGACAAAAATTATAAATGTGATATGCTCCTTATCTAAGTCATGATAATGGGCATTATTGCTCATTCAATATGCTGATTTATATGTAAGTTAATAGTTTTATAGTTTATTTTTATAAATGATAAAATTTATAAAATGTAATATGTTCATTATCTAAGACATGATTTTAAATATTATATATGCAGAAATATAACATATATATATGTATATATTGCATTTGTGAAAATGTGCAAGATCGAGTTCTAGTTCTTTAATAATATGATGTTGATAGCATCATTGAAATTGATTATTGATAAATTTAAACATCGCTGTATAACACCACTTGCACTTAGAGCTGTTTAGAACGTGCCAATGGGGCGGGCCAATAAGTAGCCCACCATAACGTGCATTACAGTGGAGTAAAATGTGATGCCCTCCCCCCACCCCCATAATGGTGGGTCGGGAAACTGACAACTCAACCCTCTCCGCCTCGGGCCAAAGGTTTGGCAGGCCTGGCTCGCGCAAAACCAAGAAGAG